TTCAAATCGGATCTCTGTTCGGTTCAAATTCTGGACCTTGAAAACCATTTCGATCTGACCCGAGAATGCTTTCGGTGACCAGCTTGTATGGAAGATTATCTCTACCACATTGCGCGAAGGGTGGCCCTCCGGGAGTTCTGTGAGAGCTGGAAAGAGTGGGTCTGAGGCACGTGAGTGGCGCGTGGCCGCACTGGTTCGAGGACGGTGAGTGGGTTGGTTTGAAACGAGTTCGGGTTTTTTTGAACTGGGTTGTTTGGTAGGTGGTGTCTGTGGTGGTTTATCTTTTGTAGGTTTGTTGTGTTTGGTGGTTTGAACAACGTCTTTGAGATTTTGATAGCTTTTTCTGCAACTTGCACTGTTGGGTATGAGGTGGTGGCTTTTAGATGCTGTGTGGTGGTGGTGATGGGGCTGAAGGTGAACGACGTCGTTTACTGCTCTGGATTTGCATTGTAGCGACTTGACCCACCCTTTCGCCATTAAGACGACAGTAATACCTTTCAGGTTCCCTAATGCCTCTCTCTGTGTCTCTCTGGTATTAGGTTTTGGTTTTGAGCCGGAAAAGAATGGAATGGAAGCGACATGGCGTGGCGAGATATTAAATGAGACGATGGACTTTATGAGGAGTTGAGATTACCAGATTGCCCTTTTGAACGGTTGGAATTTACTCAAGTGGACGTTCACTTTCAAACATGGGAGAGTAAAACAAGTCGTTCACCATGAGAGAACAAATAACATTTTATGATACAATACAAAAATTCATCAATGGCTTTCAGGAGTGGGAGAGATAGAATTGACAGTAGGTTTCACGGACCTATTGTTTTATCTGGGCAGTTGGTTGGACAGTATATATATATTCTAGTTATTGTGGGTGTAGTCGTAGATTAATAAAAAATAAAAAATATTTATATATTATATTTAAAATTAAATCACAAACATAAAAAAAAGATAAATAAATTTAAATATCGGTTATAGTGAGGGTAAGAGGTAATGGGCGGCAGGTGGTGGTAGGAGACAGTAATGATTGTTGTGTGTGGCAATGATCGAGGTGGCGACGATGTTGGTAGAGGTAGTGGTGAAGCGGTTTTAAATATTATTTTTTTTTAAAATACTTATGAAAAATAATTCTTAAAAATGCTTTTAAAAAATCATTCCAAACACACTCTTAGAGCTCTATTTTTCCTATTAAATTTATGGTGTTAATATTAGCCGTTAGATTAACTTTAAAATAAAATTTAAAGCGATTTAAACCTTTAAATTGACCCACCCATCACCGTCTCCTACCACCACCGTTGCCGGTCACAACCTCTCACCCCCAATTATAAATCGATGTTTAAATTCTTTTATCTCTTATTTATATTTGTGATTTAATTTTAGATATAAATACAAATATGTTTATTGTTTATTATTTTTTACTACTTTGTACCTTCAGGCACAAGCAATAACTAGTACATATATAAAGTACAATACAATTCAATTCTAAAAAATAAATAAAATGACTTTTACTTTTCGCGGTTCAGATCTCTTTAAATTTTACTTTAAAGTTAATCCGACAATTAATATTAACATCTAAAATTTAATAGAGAAAATAGGCTATTAAGGATGTGTGTGAGGTAGTTTTTTAAAAGTACTTCAAAAAATTTATAATTTTTTATAAGTACTTTTAAAAAAAATAATATTTGAAACTACCCATTACCACTACTGACACCACCACCACGCCACCATTTATGCCACAACAACCACCACCACCCTTTACCCATTGCCTCATCCTCAAGCCTCATGTTCCTTTTTGAGTCCATATGCAGCCTCAATTGGAGTTTTCTGTGATCCCATTTGTTTGATTGTTGCAGCCTGAACGCTGGATCAGGAAGAAGTCTCATAGAATCCCATGTTTTACACGGTTCCCAACAAGGCATCAGAGATTGTTTCGTAAACTTCCACTGACCTCCAAACTCTAGTTGGGTTCCAATGTTTTGCCACATAGTCCTCCATAAATGGTGTACAAACTTTATTTCCGATTCCAAAATAACAAAAATTTGAATATCATGTAGCCTCACCACTTCTCAATGGATAAATCAGCAATATGATTAGCATTTGCCGTCCATGAAAAAATAAGGGAATGAGATATCTCTGAATATGCAATCCATCACAACAAGGATAGAGTCATGCCCCTTTGCAATTTAGGGAAGTCTAGGACAAAGGCCATGCTAATTGAACCCATGAAGCATCTAGAGTTTAGTTGAAAGGTGTATAAACAGTGTTTATCATTAACTTGAAGAAATGTAACATCATTTAAGCTGACAAGAGATCCATTATGCAGCCCCACCTTACAAATAAGAACAAATCATCTTTCATAGTTGAATTAAAAACAAGTAATGACGAAGGAACAACCAAGAGATTGAGATGATCATCTTATGATAGAGCAATAGCAGCAGCAAAAGATAGATTGGTGTCAACAAGCTTTTTTTCAAAGGGTGGTAAAAAAGAAAGAAAAAGGCATGGTGCAAAAGCTTTCCATTGTATAAAAAAACTTACTTCTCTATGGTCTTCTTGTGCACTCTGACTGCACTGGAATAAAAATGGCAACAGATCAGGCCACTCTCCACCTGGAACAGCATACTTGGCAATGACACTCACCACATTTGCGCTTGCCCGCCTAACTGGTGAACTGAAAGTAGAAAATTACATGAAACCATTCTCAGCTTCCCACATCATATTGCAAAGTTCATCTTTGTGAAATTCACAAATCCAAGCAAAAAGAAAATCAATGACAAATCCCAATAAAAACCACAACTTAGTGCAAGTAAAAACTACAAACAGACTGATTCAATGTGCATTCATTGCAGTAGAAACTACAAACATAATGGTTCAATGCATTCACTAACTTAATAATTTTTTCGATAAGAAATTTTCATTTTCAGTATATTCATAACTACTAATTCGAATTTACCAGAGAAACGACAACGCAGCAATGAATTAACAAACGCAAAATTCGCATTATGACCTGTGTTCCATGGTGATGCTTTCAATGAGAGACTGCTTGACGAGCTGGCGGAGCTGGAGGGAGAGCTTTGCCCAGTGGCCGTGATCTTCTTGCGGAGGAGCACCGCCGCGAGTTGCCGGACGTTCGGAGTTTTAGCAGTGCGGAGATGGTGAATTAAGGCTGGAACCACCTGCGGGTCCTTCGCCAACCGTTTAATTTGGTCCTCCGCTTGCCGGCGAGCGTCGTTGTCCGGCATCAAGAACTGAATTAACAAAAGCTCCAGTGATTGCGCCATGGATTGGTTCTCTATCAGCTCGAGCCTTCTCTTTCTGTTCCTGTGTGTGTGTAAGGGAGAGAGACAGAGAGAGAGAGACCCTATTGAGAAGGGTGGCGGTGAGGGTTTTGCTTTATATCGAAGGAAACAGTGCCGGTGGGGCAGAGGTTTTGGAAGTGTTTTTTTAGGGGTGAGCAGTGCACAGTGCTGCTAATATTGTCTGCACGCGCCGTGTCACGTGCGTGTGTCCAAATCTAATGTGAATCCGGAACACTCCATAAAAATTTTTATTTTTCGATTCATATTGAGTTTGAATTTTGATAACCGGAATTTATTAACAATTTAATCTGTAAATGGTCTATCTTTAACTAGATTAAGAAAAGAATTAGTCGAGATATGTGTAAATATGCGTAAACTAACTCAAACACTCTTACTGTTGAATTAAAAATATAAATCAAAAATTATAAGTTTCACTTTCACCGACCCTAAAACTTAGGTGTCATTTTGTAACATCGTGTTTTTGTTTTTTCTTCCATTTTATGGCATAAAAAAAAAGGCGTTTATTGAATGTTTTCATTTTTTTTAACTATTATGTTTCAAAAATAAGACTAAAATATGGAAATATCAAAAATGATGTTTTTAAAAACAGCCAAAAAAAAAAACATGCAGTTCAAAATGGGATTTAATGAGAACCTGACTTCAATCCACCTTAAGAACAAAAAATGAATTTTTTACTTGAGTATAAGAAGCTACTTCCCTCTTTCACCCCCCCTCATTTTTTGCCTCCTCTTTCTCGGTCGTCTCTCTGTCTCGACGCCATTGGCAAACGCAGGCATAAAACGCCACCGCCAAACACTGTGAATGAGCTCTCAAATTCAAAAGCCAACACTCCATCTCCACAGTCAAATTTCACTCCATCTCCATCTCCATCGAGCTCTCTTTGTACCTCTAAGCCCTATATATATATATTGTTAGATTTGGTTAGATTTGTGTGTTTGAGTGAGTATGTGTGTGTACGAGAGAGAAATGTGGATTTTAGGGGGTAGGTTTCAGGGGTTTTGGAGAGTGGTGGGTTTTTTGGGGTGTTGAGTGGTTGTTGGGAGGGGTTTCAGGGGGGTTATGGGTGGTGGATTGCAAGGGGTGGGAGTGGGTTTTCGGTGGGGTTGTGTGGTTGTTGGTGGTGGGTTTAGGTGGTGTTGGGTAAAATACCAAATATGTTTTTTATTTTTGTTTTAATAATTTTTTAAAATATAAATAATTACCAAACATGTTTTATATTTTTTATTTTTTATCACAAAAAAGCAAAAACTAGTTTTTTTTATAAAAATAAAAAATAAAAACGAAAACGTTTTGCAAACACCCTCTAGTAAGTGAATCTAAAAGATATTGGGTGCACTCCAAAAATTAATATGTTTTACAAAAATAAATATCCAAAAAAATAATAAGTGACACGATAGTAATTTTTTTTTTTAATATTATAGTCAAACCTATGTAATTGGTATCGAGTAAGGCTTGTGTTATTGCTCGCCAATTACACATTCTAGCTTTTACATGAACAAAATCCTACTCAGGCTGAAAAGATTTAGCCTCTATTTGGTAACACTTTCTTAAAGCATTGAAACCAAAAAAAATTTAAAAAAAAATCTTTTTGCTTAAAAGCAAAGCACAAAATATAAAATGTTTAATAAGTATCTTTGAAACACAAAGACACACTTATTAACATACCAAAACACACATGCACACATACTAATTCACAAGCACATACGCACAAACACAAGCACACTAATACTCCAAAAATATACACACTTGCATTCCCATACCAATACACTAAAATATATATATACACCCACTAATACACCAAAAATACTAAATATCTACACAATACTAATACACCAAAAGACATATACTCACTAATACATGCACAAACACTATTAACCTAAGTATGCAATTTGAGGGTATTGCACCTTTCTTGTGGTGCGAGAATTTGATTAGTTATCCATCCCATGAAATTTTATAAACTTTTATGATTTGTGGGTATTTTTGGTGTATGAATGTGTGTGCATGTGTTTAGAGTATTAGTGAATGTGCATGTGGTTGTGTTTTGTGTGCGTATTAATGTGAAGTTTTTTAGTGTATTAGTTTTCTGCACGTGTGTGTTTTTTTTTTTGTTATATTGATTGTGTGTGTTGTTTTTTTTAGTGCATTAGTGTGTGTTAAAATAAGAAGTGTATTTGTATTATTGGTGTATTAGTGTTTATATTTTGGTATATTAGTTTTCGTGTTTTGATGTGTTAATATATGTGTATATGGGTTTTGTTGTATTAGTTTACGTGTGTATATTTCTGTGTATTAAAATATGTGCGTGTATTTTGGTGTATTAGTATGTGCATGCATATTTGGTGTATTAGAGAGTGTGTATTTTTTTAGTGTATTAATGCATGTGTGTATCGTGTAATAGTGTGTGCATGTATTTTGGTGTATTAGTGTATGTGCAGGACCAGCTCTGAAAATGGGCTATGCAAAATCTTTAAATGAGGCCCTCATAAAATTTATTATAAATATATTATATGATTAATATTTTACTTAAACATCATCTTTTTTTTTTTTTTTTGCTTTTTGTGATGTAAATTTAGTGATTAAACTTTTACATTCAAGTTTCACTAATATTTCGTTTTTAATAGATAATGAGACTAATTCATTCAATCTTTCTTGTGACACAATAATTGTATAAGTGATGTAGGCTAGTCATTAATGGTGTTCAATTGTAAAAATTGGAGAAAGAGAGAGAGATTCTTAAAAGCTAAAATGAGAAAAATTAAACTGACTTTTGAAAGAGTTTTTAAAAGCTAAAAGGAGTAAAATATTGATTAAAAGGAAAAAGATGATTGACTTTTTTTTATTTATTTTAGTTTGGGATTTTTTCTGATATATATTTAATTGGTTCTATACAGATTAAATTTTTTAGGTCATATATAACATTAATTCTCAAAAATCATAACATTATCTGGGGTCTCTCTTTTTTGAGGGTCTTAATGCAAACATTTAAATTACCTACCCATTGGGGCGACCCTGTGTG